CTCCCCCTCAGCGCCACGCCCCGGCCCCCGACGGCAGCTGCGGCCTCCGCTCTGCAGCCCGTCCTCTGCCGAGGGTCCCTGAGGGACAGATGGGTGCTGTCTGGGGCTGGGGTCTGCCTGCCGCCACTCTCTGTGAGCATTGCTGCAGTGCCTGAGCGCCGCTGGCCCGCTGGAGCACGGGCTTCAGGGAAACGTGGCTTTGTCTCCTGTCTTCTAAGGGGAACGGTGGCAGCTGCGTCCCTTGGAACTTGCAGTCAGCGCCACGGCCTCTCTTTAAGACAGCAAAATTTCTTTGAACGTTCAAGGCCTGATTTTAGCACACAAGCTTGAGATGGATGTGGTTGCCATACAAGTGGAGAGAGGCAGCTGTCTCCCACGAGCCCTCCAGACAAGAGCACATGGATGTTTCCAACCTAAAAATGCTGTCAGAGAAGTAACTACAGGCTCTCATCAAGGATGCACGTCAAGAAGGGACTGGTCCCAGCTTTCTCCTTGGCAAAGATCACTTTGGGTGTCTGTAAACACTAAATGCATTCAGCGTGCCAGCGGTCTGTAGCAGATACTTCCAAACTCAGATTCTTGAATATTCAAAAATTGAAAACTAGAAATTAATCGATGGCTTAAATATTATCAGCGTCCAGTGAAGAGATTTCAGGGGGAGGGAGCTGTTTGTCATATACAGCAGTATTATTTTCCTAAGGCTTTCTCATAATCCTGGTCCACAGCTGAAGAGGGGCAGCTTAGTAGATATTATTTCAAAGATAAACACGCATTTTATAACCTTGCATAATGTTTTTAAAGGAAATGAAATATTAAATGAATGTATGTACTTAAAGGACTACTTACAAAATGTTAATGACTTCAACTAAGAAATGACAGGAAATTCACGTAGTTCTTAGTAGTTAATAAACAGAATGCATTTCCCACCATTTTGTTTATTAGGGTTGGTATTGTTCAACTTGTAAAGTTGGGATTTATTTTGATTTTTGTTGTTTTTCAGCAGATCTGCATGGTAATTGAACATATATCTTCTCTCTGTGGTAGTCTGGCAAAATAATAACTGCCTCATGCTTGGCTGTTCTCACACTTGAGAGATCTTTTTCCTTTCAAATAAGTCTGCTACGTACACCTTGTATTGTAGTTTACAGCAAAGGCCCAACATGGATTTGTCATGGAAATGTGCTAAAGTAACTGCTGTGTTTGTCTGATGCAGCTAAGGCTGTTGGGATCGGTGGTGTGCACAGGACAAAGCAAGACGATGGACCCAAGGTGAATGACCCCAGGCTCCTCCCAGATCAGTGTCTTCAGAGGACAGCCAAGGTAACTCTGGAGAGTGACATGCAAGCATGTGTGTGCTCCCAAAGGCTGAATGAGACCAGCCCTGGCCCTCCTGTAGTCTCCATCTGTTGATCTCTGAATCTCATTCCCCACTTCAAAGACAGTAATTGTCCAATCTGATTAAAAAAAAAAAAAAAAAATCAAGTATCTTGTTATTTTTACCAATTATCCTAGTTTAAATTCCTTTTGATTGATATGCAGAATCACTTAGCAAGATTCAGGAAAAAGATTGGATACTAATATGTGTGTCACCATGTCCAAAGTTGTCAGAATTAATTCTTACAGACTTTGGAAAGGCTTCTGGTGCTGTTGGTTCAAGATTCGAGTCAATCTCTGAATGTTAAGAAACCAGGAAAGGATTACTGGATCAGGCTGCGTCAGGTCTCATCCATGTCTTGTGCTTTCCCTTGTAGCCTCTGCTTCTGGTCCCTGTCGTGGGCTGGGCTGCCTTCTGGTCTCATCCAGTGTGACAGTTCCAGTGCTCAGAATTGCACAGAGGTGCAGCTCCTGAAACCCTCCGGAAGGACTGTTCTGTATAAGCTTAGGAAATTGGCTATAATATTTCTGTTATCCAGTGATTTATTATGGTCTACAAAAATACAGCCTGGATGAACACCTCTCTGGAACAATTATTTAGTGATATTGTAATTTATTATTCTTCTCAAAGCCATCTTGGATAAAGGTAAAATAACCCCTAACTCCAGAAAGCATAGAAAGGAGGAGAGAAGTGCCAAATTCCTCACAGCACATCCTTTCCTGTGGTTAGCACTGGATCTGCCAGCAGCACCATTTTTGGACTGGGCTGTTCTGCACTGAATGTCAAAATCGCAGGCCGAGGATACAAATGAAAGCTTTTACAGGAGTTGCTTGTATGTTGTGGCTGATTCCCGGCATTTGGAAGCATCTGCTTCTTGTCTGGTTTTGTTCTGTAATCAAGAAAATTGCAGTAGAGAGCTAGCACTTGGAAGGCACTTAATGCTTCTATAGCCATGAGCAAGATGGCAAGGAAAATACATTGTAAATAGGTTCTCAGTTAAAAAATGCACACACATACACACAGGGAAAACATGATACAGGCCTTGTGATTTTTCCAGGTATTCTGCTAAGCCTCTGTGCATCCGATTAAGTTTCTCTGAATGTATTAACTTTAGAAACCTTTGTCTTCTTCAGGTGGTCTATATTTTGGAAAAGAAGCATTCCCGAGCAGCTACAGGCTTCATCAAACTTCTGGCAGACAAGAATAGTGAACTCTTCAAGAGGTGTGCCATGTTCTCACCTGTGGACCACAGAGTGCCCAGGGTCTACGTGTCCTTGGCTGATTGCCCTCCAGACTTTGTGACCAGGCCTGAGGACTATTCAAACATGCTCTTCATCTGTCGCATAGTAGACTGGAAAGAAGACAGTAACTTTGCAACAGGGTATGTGGCTACCATTGGAAGCAGAAGTGACTGAGATTTCTGCTTGGGGTTCTTGGTTTCACTTAATTTGATACAAGCAATAGAGACAGGAATCTGTTAACAAGATGCTTGTCTTGTGTCCCTCTGATTATTTGGTGGCTGAATTGTGATAAGGCTAAGGGTAGCCCATCACTAGTTAATCTCATGGCTACATAACATTAGTTGTTTTTGGTGCTTGCTTTAGTGTGCTGTCACATCACAGCATAATGAGCTGTGGTCTTTGCTCAGAGGAGCTTGCAGTCTAGAGGGAACACACACAGGTACTTTGCCTGACCAGCACAATCACTGTGGGGTGCTGGCAGCCTTTCAATATTTCCTCCCTTTCTGTAAGTAGTACAGTGTGTAAGGATTTCACTGCCAGAGGAAGGACAGTAGCTGTGAGGCTCATCTTTGATTTTTTAGCCTTTAATGATAAGTAGAAAGAAATCGGTTGTTTGTTTTTAAACTTGTGTTCCTTAAAGAAAGGATACTTCAAAGCAAGAAAAGATTCATTCACTTCTGAAGGTGATGAGAAGGGTGTTGCACTCTATGCGTTTCAGGAGGCACTGTATAAGCCATTGCTGAGAGTTCAAGTTGTAGGCACTGCCACAAAGGAGATTTTAAGCCAGGGCTACACAAATGTCCTGGGCTGGGCTGGATCCAGACTGCAAGTTCAGTTTGCCTCTCAACAAGGAAGACCTGGTAGTTTTCAGCATTTTCATTCTTTTCTTGGGAACAGCTGCAGTGTTCCAGCCTTCCTCCTGGAGTGGCTTTGCTGTTTCCTACTGAGTGGGTCTCCATAAGAAATTTGGGACATTGATAAATCTGTTCAGTTATCTTGGGAAAAAAAACAAGTAGTCCTGGTTTGGTCGGTGATCCAGTAAGCTAACTCTGAGTAGTTGGTAACTCTGACCTGTAGCAATGCTGTAGTCAAATTTTACAGGTGTTGGGGATCTGGATGTAGTCTGGAGCATTTGTCATAGTGGGAGTTGGACACAAAGCCCAACTTTTCCACTTGCAAAGCTGTTCTGATGGAGTGGCACTGATGATGTACAGTGTCAGCACCATTGGTTTTAGAGTCCTCAGCTCATACTCCTGGTAAAGCTTAAAACTGGTATAATTCTTTCTTTTTTTAAGAGTAAGAATGTTGGCCCAGATCTATCAGCACTAGAAATAAACTAAACTCAGGTCCCCGTTTCCCTGAGTTAAAGTTCATTATCAGTTGTGCTTTCTGTGTGTGCCCAGTAATAGCAAGTTTCACGTGTACTCGAGAGCCACATGAGCCATCAAGTCACTCAGTGTTTCCTAGTTAAGCTGCAGCACATGAACTGAAGTGGCCTCCCTTTTGGGGGCTGGCTGTGCTGTGAACTTCACTGTGACTAAATTTCGTATTGGCAGAGATTTTCTTTGTTGTCTTTGACTCCAACAGAGAAGAGACTGGAGGGTGGTTGTGCTGCTTGGCTTCTTGACATGAACCACCCTCCTTTTCAGCAGAAATGGGAAATTAGGAGAAAGAGCTAAAGTCTTTTTTCATTGGCTAATGTGTATGTCTTTAATCTGTACTTCTGACAATGTTGTATGTTCTCATCTGGCTGTTTTGGTAGTTTCCAAGATGTAAAGGGTGTTGTCAGGAAAGAAAGCATCCATGATTGTCCTCAGACATAGCTATTTCCTCTGGGACTCTGTTGCATTTCAGGAAGTGCATTGTGGAAATGCAAGCATAAAACCTTGGTGACTTGTTTTGGTTTTAATTATAAATATATGCTTATTTAAACACTGAAAGACAAGGACATGTCTTGAAGGTCTCAAAAACTCCTGTTTGCTTTTGGATGTGTTTATAAGCATGCTGTGTTGCTAGTTGTGGCTTATCTGAAGGAGAGAACAGCAGGTGCTCTGCAGCTCATTGCATGCTTGTTAGTTTGAACTTCCTTGTGCACCCCTTAGTTCTGCCCACTGACTTCGTGATGCCCTTTGGCTGCACCACTATGGTTTTGAAAGTGTCTGGACTAAGGAGCCTGTTGGTCATCATCGCGCTGTACTGTCTAAGTTTACTGGAAGAATGACAAGGGAAACTCCCTCCATAGTTGCCAGTGAATTCCCCATGGTACCTTCAGTGTTTCCAGGTACTCTTCATCCTGCAACTGAACTTGCCCAGGCTGGTCATGCACCTTTCTCAGCATTCCTTTTCCCTTGGGAAGTTCTAGTCCAGGTTTCCAAGTGCAGCTAATGACATAGTCTGGTCATCACAGCGACCATGTCTGGCTGGCCAAGAGCTTGGCAATGGCATTGGCCACCCAGTGTGGTCACCTGCACAGGGGCAACCTCACAGTCCCTGGAGGTCCCGTTGGGGAGGGGGTGCTTTTCTGTGTCGTGATTGCCACCTGGTGGTGACGAGAGAGACATTGTCCCCTCAGAAGGGCCACCCTAGGCCACCCTGTCACCCCGACTGTGCCGGGAAGGAGCAGGGTGGAACTAATGGCTCCATGTCCTGCTGGTGATGTCCTGAGTGTGGGCTGCTGTGCTCCCTCTTGCATGTGAAGTGATTTTACCATGGCAGTGAAGTGCCATTTAACTGTATCTGCTTCAGGTAGCAGGTTAAGCAAGATAGCTCCAAGGTATTCTCCCTTTCCAGATAAATATTGCAAGTACTGGCACACATAGCTTCTGGGGGCCTTTTCTAGTGTTGGAGTTCCAGGGCTGTTTGGAGTATTAGTCCAGACATCTCCACACTTTTGTGCAGTAAATCGGGAATGATTTTTCCCCGAACATAGGATGATGGATAAGACTATTACAAAAAAAAAAAGTAGCAGGAAAACATTGGATCGCTGGTTCCCTTTTGTGTCACACAGGGCTTGTGGCTGTTCTAGCTCAGGGCCTTAGATACTCTTCTGTCGAGGTGACAAGATTTGTCACAGCATTTGCAATAAAATGAAATGTTGCCGGATGTTCTTCCCTTGAGATTCTTTCCAAAGCCATCCAAGTGGCTTGAATTCCTTTCATCTCTGGCATTTTTTTTCTGTTTCTTAATCCATAAATATATTTGATGTGAGGGGAAATGACCAGGTACCTTGGGTAGCTCACTGTAAGGCTTGAGGGAAGGTCCTATTCCTGAGCAGTGTAGGTTTTCTGGAAAAACACCTTCTTGCTGATGGGACTGTCTCTCAGTGAAGCTGTGTTCCCTGTGCACAGCTGATCACCATACGCTCTGAAGCGTGGGGTGGCCCCATCTGTGTGAGGAGCACCATGCTGCTCCTGTGTTCCAGTGGTGGGTGGCCTGGCAGCTAGAGGGAGGCAGCTCCATGGTGTGGAGTAGGGCTGGACTGTGCTGTTGAGTGCTGGAGGTTCCCCTGACACAGCTCTCCATCTCCATGATGCTCAACCCTGCTGCCATCTCACCATTTCCACTAGGACTTATGGGCTTTGTTGAGCCTGTGCAGCTCTGCTTGAGCACTGGGCAGTGGGAGCAGCCTGGTGGCCTTCCTTGGTGTCCCCTCTTCTGCTCCTGTACAAGCTTCCTCTAGGAGCGGTGGCTTATTGATGTGTAGGATGTTGTCCTACTGCTGCAAGAAAACCTCTGTGGAGGATGACTGTGGACAGGTCTGCTCCAGGAGAGATTAAGGTTGTTGAGTCCCCATGGAAGTTATTCACTCCCATTTGGGAGCCTGCCTGGCTTTCCAAAGGAAACAAACCTTATGTAATTATACTTTGTCTTTTTGGAGAGTTCTTATCATGTAACCTTTGAACACACTGCCCAGTTTCAGCTGCGTCTAGGGAGTGGAGAGGGCTCAAGTGTTTGTAGAAATGGGTGGCCGAGTAGATGGGACCAGTGTCACTGAGGGGGAAGGTAGCAGCGCAAGTGGCTCTGCCCGAGACGCACAAGGGAGGTCAGGCTCAGGTGAGCTGCCAGCTCAGAGCAGCTCAGCCTGCAGCCAGGGCTGGTTCAGAGGGCTGTGCCATGTGCTGTCCTGTGCCCCAACCGTGGCACACTACCACCGTGTCTGACATCAGTCCGAGGGCATTCAAGAAATTCGAGGTGATGCTCCCCCATCAACGTCACAGAAAAGACATGGTTACGTCTGTAACCATTAGAATGTGTGTGTTTTGGTTTTTTTTTTTTTTCTGTTTAACATTTTTTAAAAAGCGATCTGCGTAAGCCTGGGGGGGTCACAGACATGGTGACTCCCTGGGAGTGAATGTCTGACTGCTGCTGGGCCCTGTGCCTGTTGTTGTTTATAAGCCTCTTGAACTATTCTTGCTACCCTCGGTGGCCGCGGAGCCCCATGAGTGATTTTACAGCCCGACTGTTACTCCGGGGCCATCGGTGATCCTATATGTGTTACCTTTGATCACATGCTGTCCTGTCAGATTTTGCTCTGATGCAAGTCATCATGTCTGCGTGACTGTAACATGGCCCCAATTAAAGTCAGTTGTACACTTTTTATTTCAAGGTACTTGGGTAATGTTCCCTGGAACGCTGGAAATCAAATGTTAATTACTATTAAAAAAATATTAGTCCTATATCAGACCTCTGGGTAAACCCCTTATGGTTCGTAATCTAATTTCAGTAAACGGATCAAGAGGACATGGGTTTCAAGACTGAGCTGGAAAGCACTCTGGCATTCAGAGGTGCTTTCCATGACTTGTCGTGCAGACGTCCAGCCGCCCTCCCGGTGCACTTCCCAGCTCTGCCCTCCCAAGAGAAAGGGCACCTGAAACTCAAGCCTTTGCCACTTCTTTTTGTTAGGGCAACGTGTTCCCTTTTTTTCAGCTCTTCTTTATTTTTTCCCAGTCCATCCTTGGTGGTGCTGGTGGGCCTGCAGACCCATGGGCTGGTCCTTGCTCGGTCTCCCAGCTCGGCACTAGACATTAGAAATGAAGTGGTGATTTCTCTGGTTTATTGTTACTGCTGAGAGAGGGGGAGATAAAACTAATGCTTCATTTACTTACATTAAAATAAGGACCAGACTGGGACCAAATGGCGGGAACAAAGGACTCGGCCACAGTGCCAAACGCACGCGTAATTTCTGCCGTAGAGTTTGTACATAAAATTGAAACAATGGAGGGGAATATCTTTTATCCTTGTTTTCATTTTTATTTTAAAGCTAGGCAATGTGAGCTCTACAATTTACCACGCCACGAAGCGCACGGTCCTTTCCAGCATATTAGCTGACGTGACAGGTTTATTACGCAGCCCTTCCCGTTGCGAGGAGAGAGAGCTCTGCTCCCATAAAGAAGATGGGTTTGCTTGTGCCACGCGGGTGGGGTTTGTTCTGGGGCTTTATGGCACATTTGAAGCCCTGAGAACATCTCGCTCGTCCAAATGACAAGTGCGCTGGTTTGGCCCCAATTTTGAAGAGTAATTAGTGCCTGTTCTCACTCGTCGGAATGAAAGCAGAAGGATCAATATAATGATTGTGTATTTTATGCAGTGGAAAAACTCTTATTAGAGTGGCTGGTTTTGCACTGTGTTATTACCCCTCTCTTTTGTGTCATGTTTTGATGGATTCGCCTTAATTTCAGCTGTAATTTTCTTGGGTCAGGAATGTTATCTCTGTTGGCTGTAAAGTGCAGTTTGCCCTAATGGCAGTATATTAAAAAAAATAATAATATAATTTACCTCTGCGTAGTGCAGAACAATTTGGGAAGAAAGGGGACAAGTGGAGCCGCCATGGGACATAGGTTCTCATGTGATTGTTTATAACCAGCTGAGCTTACAGATTTTGCAATTTGAGGGAACAAATGTCCCACTCCTTGGAGTCCTGGTTTGTATGCTGTGTCCAGAGCTGAGTGCTTGTTTGACACCAGGGCACTTGGACAGATGAATACTGAGGCTTGCACTGGAGCAGATGGAAACTTTCTTTAAGCATAACAGAACAACAGCCTCATCCACATGTGCAGAGTATTTCATCAAAGTCTATTAGCATGTGGGGGACAGTTTTCTCTGTCTGTGACTTGCTTCTAGATCGTTGGCTTCTCTCCAGTTGGCTCATGGTTCAGAGGCTTCTGGTTAGCTAGGAGAGGAGGGACAAACTACTAGGAATGTTTAGGGCCTGGAAAAGAAATGGAAAGACAGTCTGTGGGCATGTCTGTGTGCAACTCCTGTAAGGAAGTCAGTAAGGGTTCTTCACACCTCTGTTTTCGTAGGGTTTGCCCAGGCAAGGATGTGTATCCTTTGGGATGGAGAGCAGTGTGCTGAGCTTCCTGGGAGATGTCCTCTGCACAGCTTTCTGGGTTCTGGTGGGAATCTGTTCTCCATTTCAGGTGGTAGGGTTGAGTCACCTCTTTCAGTGGAAAAGGAGAGGAGAGGAAGGGCGATCTCAAGGGACCCATGTGTAAAGCTAGAGCTGTCTGTATGGAGGGCTGTGCTTTTCTTAGCCCTGTTGGATGTATTTTTTTTTTCTAAAATTAGACACTTTCTTACCTCTGCAAAAACCTAATATAAAATGTCTCTTTAAAATGCAATGCACAAAACATCCTGGAGTACTGTCTAGATGGTGTTTTGCATCTCCAGCAGACATAAGTCATGGCATGGACTGAATTCCTGCCAGGTCCTCTGCCAAAACTCAGGGAGAAGTGAATGGGTGAAAGAGTATATTTGAGGGCTCGGCAGCCTCTCTGCGGGGACAGTAACAACACACCAGTAGTAGTTATACACTTAAAAAACCCATCCCTTTCTTTCCTTCTTTTGCAGGCAGTTGGCCAAAAGTCTTGGGCAGGCCGGAGAGATTGAGCCGGAAACGGAAGGGATCCTGACAGAATATGGTGTGGATTTCTCTGACTTTCCCCCTGAAGCCCTGGAATGTCTTCCCCAGAGCCTGCCCTGGGTTATCTCACCTGCAGAGCTGGCCAAAAGAAGAGATTTAAGGTAACGACAAAAAGTGTGGTTGGTGACTCCTCCTTGGGTTGCTGCAGGGTTGTGCTGTTTCGTTTTGCTTTCATCACACTTGGAAAAGGCACTGACACATTACGTGTACCATGTTACATGTTACCTGTGCTAGCATGGTGAGAATCTGCTTTTGAAAGTACCTACAGACCCAGAAGGTCAGTTATTTGGAGAAGTATTTTGTGAGTCTGAGGCTTTTTCTCAAAAGAGCTCTTGAAACTGAAAATTGGGTGTTTGGCATCTAACCTGAAAGCTTTATGTTTTTGTCTGGAACGTATTACGTATTTTAGTGGTAGTTTTATAGCAGAGATTTTCAGAATGCCTGGCAGATCAAATGATCTTGGACATTGTTACTTTGAAACTTAAGTGCAGGTAGACTGTCCTGTGTTTTCCTGTCTAGTCTCAATATTTTTCTATTTTGAAGAACCAGTGTCTCATGTGTTTATGCAGTTTATGACTGCTCTTGATCAGGTTAGCAGCTGGCAAGTGCAGTCCCTTCCTGCAGCCTGGCAACTCTGTGCTGTCCATCTACCTCACATTAGCTATCCTTGCAACTTAGTGATGCTCTCACCAGCTTTCAGGTACTCCACAGTTTGTTGGCTGGTAGACACTCTGACATTGCTTGACTACCCAGAACCAGTGGATTTGCTATGCTTCAAAGTGTCAGATTCTAGAGGTCACTTCACTAGAAAAGATTTAAAGGCAAAAGTAATTTGTGTAGAACCTTGCTTCGCGGTAAGGGAAGATGCAAGGAAGCAAACCAATAAATGCATTAAGATGATGCAGTGTGTTCTACTCCTGCCCTTGCTCATGCTAGAGCATCCTCTCTCAGCTGGCAGATTCACTGCTCTCTTGCATATTGTTGGGGTGAAACAGCCCCATGAGCCTTATTCCTCAAGACGCTGTACTGGTGCAAGCACCTGCGTGTATGTAGCTCTTCTCCCTCTTCGTTTATCTGTGTTACTGACATGGATATTAGTAATCTTAGTGGGTAAAATGATAAATTGCAGCCATTTGTAGCTGTACCTGGACTCCAGATGTTACTTTTGATCTAATCCTGCACTGTAGCCTGAAACCTCCTTATTGCTTCAACTTTACTAGATTTCCATTGCCACACAATGGAATAATTCAGGGGAGAATCAAACTCCTGACTAGTGCTGTCACTCAGATACCAGATCCAGACCGTAGGCTTCAAGTAGCTTTTTTTTTAAAAAAAAGGATACTGAGTTCTGCAGTTCACAATTCACTGGAAAGTGCTTATTTTTGTATTCTTGACTACATTTCAGTAGCATTCTGTTTCTTCTGACCAAGTTCTTTCAAGCAATTAAAGAGCTTGACTAGTCTCCAGTCAGACAATCAGTTTTGCTAACAAATTCCAAGTGCATTTCTTGCTTTTATTGCTAAATTATTATACTGGGACTTATCAAGGTGATAACAGTTTTGCAGTTAAGCCATTTAAATCCCTCACTGCCCCTTCCCGACCACAGTGCACACTACAAAGTAGATTTCCTTTTGATCCTCTCAAATATAAACATTTAACAGTCAAAATTTTTAAGACAATTATTTGAGCTTAATTTACTAATCCTTTTAATGTCAACTGCCACACTGCTGAATAACTAGTTTGTGGTCTAAATGCATATGGAGATAACATGAGACTTCTAGTTACGGAAAGTAAAATACAGATGAGTTGTGTTTTTGTTTCCTCACAGTGAGAAATTTGTCTACACAGAAAAAGATGAGCTTTATTAGTAAGTAAGTGTAGTGTGAATTGTAGGTGAGTGGAGTCCTGCAGCTGGAGACCTGGCTGCCATCTGTTCTGGTCTCACCCATCTGACCTTGAGAGACTGTTCTTGGCAAGTCCTGAGATAGCTCAGCTTTAACTTGATATTAAATACTAGCTTTTGTATTGACAGCAACAAGTGTACTGTGGTCTGTAGTGTTGTACGAGTAGTCAGTACACTCTGGCCCAGCTGACATCCAGAGGAAGATGCCTGAACCTGGGTATCTGGCCTGGGTGTCTATGGGAGTTGTGCCTTGTTTTCCAGGGGAGCTCACGCCGTGCTCAACAGCACCTGCCTCTGTGAGTGCCCTTCTTTGCTGTACTTTGTGCATGTTGATCTGTCAGGCTCCCCAGATTACAGTACTCTGAGAGAACAATGTAAGATAAATTACACTGAAATAAGGACTCATCTTTCCTCCTGAAATGGCCACGTTAACACTTCTAAGCAGCTCATCCTAATTCAGTTTAGAATCATAGAATGCTTTAGGTTGGAAGGGACTTGAAAGGTCATCTAGATTAGGTTCCTCAGACCCCTGTCCCACCTGACCTTGAATGTTTTTAGGGATGTGACTTCTGTCACCTTTCTGGGCAACCTGTTCCAGTGTGTCACCACCCTCATTGTCAAAAATTTTTCTTAAATCAAGTCTATCTCTACCCTGTTTTAGTTTAAAACCATGACCCTTTGTCTTGTCACAACATGTACTGCTAAAAGGATTGTTGCCATCTTTCTTACAGGACCCATTAAAGTACTGGAAAAAGAGTTTGAATTAAAACACTTCAATCTGTAGTAAATCCTCCCCAGTTCTGTAGCACAGTGCTGTAAGTTTTCTAGTGTCATGCATTACACTTTCGGTATTTGGAAGTGGGACACAGCAATCTTGGGTTTTTGGGTGTTTCTTCTTCCTGAGATAACTTCCTCGTTTCCTTTCATCATGGGAAACGACCCTTTCCTCCTCAAAAGGCAATTTCTGTGTTCTGCTGAGCAGTGTCCCGAGTGTGGCCCGGTCTGCTTGTGAGTCAGTGTATAGAGCACAGAGGTTGAGGTTCTGCACTTGGAGGCATTTGTGAGTGTGGTTTTAGATGAAAGTGAGACAATGTTTCACCAAGCTGCTGAGGCTGGGCAAGAGGAGGGAAGGATATTTTGTCCATGCCATCTTGTAAATATGTTCCTTGATGTTCCTGCTAGTCTTTCAGTTTTACAGGAAGCCTGTTCTTGCCATGCATAGTCTGTTTGGATAGCAACTGTGATCTCACCCGCATAGCCTGTGCAGAATTGCTTCCAAGAGATCCTTTTATTTTTTCCCTCATTTCTCCAGTGATGTCTCACAAAGAAAGTTTGACATAATATTTTAATGTTACTTACAGCAGAGAAGATCCAAACCTTATGGATGGCTTTGAAATGTTTTAGCTGATTTAGCTCTCTGCTCTGCCCTGCCACTACTGTGCAGTTTTGCCATGGACATCTGCTCTTTACCTGCATGAGTTTATTTGTAAAATTAGGCAAGCATTTTGTGGGTACTCCCAGCTTACTTGTTTGTAAAGAGCACCAAAAATTTCTAATGAAGACCACTAGGCAATATTAGGTGTTGGCATTGCATACTGCAGTTGTATTTTGTAGAGAACTTGAAGTTTCCTAAAGTATCAGAATAACATGGTTGAGGTAACTTCCCTTCCAGAGACTTTAAATGTGATAATACAGATAGGACCAGAGTTCTCATTTTATTTTTCAGGTTGACTGGAGTTGAGTTTTTTTCATTAGAAGTTTGAGAAGTGTTTGGTTTCTGCTTTTAGAGAAACATTGGAGGATTAGTGTCATAGAAACAAATTTTGATGGGTGCAAAGTTTCAACCATTTTCTGGTCTTTTCCAGTATTGCAACATGTAATTTTCATTTCCTTGTTTGCTTTGCTTTGCACTTAATGTTACAATGGTGTGGGACAAAGTACAGCCCTTGAGCAGAAGAGGGGTGAGGGCAAAGGAGGAAACACAAATTTCAGAGGTGGGTGCAGGAGAAAGGGGGCTACAGGAGGAGGCCATTTGAAGAGGTGTAGACAAGAATCTAAGAAATACAAAAGCTATTTCTAAGACTCATTCCAAATGTTTCTAATTTCATTCATATCTTTTTGTTTCCTTTACTGCTTAACTGGGACAAGAAACTAAAGCCAGGAAAGTCCAATCATAGTGGGAAACAAAAACCTAAATATTGGAGAGGGAAAAAAGACTGTTCTTTGCAAAGCAGCTCTGCCTTTTGCTTGTCTCCCATTGTTGGTGTTACTGTGGAAAATATATAACATCACTCTTTTGGAAAGTGCTAGAGCCTGTTGAAGTAGGGAGGGTTTATATAGTCTAACATGGAAGAACTTGAGGATATCTATTTCTTTACCATTTGCCTAATAATAAGTGAGCCTGTTGACCTCTGCTGGACTATTACAAATGTGAAACTTGGCACTCAAAATTGCTTGCTCTAAATTTTCCAGTTGCTTTCTCTTTTTCCATTTGATGTCATCCTGCCAACAAGTGATTTTATTATTATAAACAGGACATTGTATTCACTTTTAAGAAGAAATATGAAGCTGAAGGTAAAATTACAAACTGCAGTTTCTCAGCTGGCAAAATACAAAACAATGAGCTAAAAATACTGAGCAGAGAAAGGGTGCTGTGGCAAGAAACTCTGAAATGTCTACAAGATGTATGTGGTCCGAGGAGCAGAAACATACTGACTTAAACTGAGCAGCTCTGAACTCCTGAGAATCACCCAATGGTTGAGGCTGCAAGGCACCTTTGCAGATCATCTACTCCAAGCCCCTTGCTCAAAGCTGGGTCAGCTGAAGCAGGCTGCTCAGGGCTGCGGCCATTTGGGGTTTGGAAATCTCCAAAGATGGAGCTTCCACAACCCCTCTGAGGAATGTGTTCTGGGGTTCAGTTGCCCTTACAGTAAAAATGTGGGTTTTTACCTTTAAATAGAATCTCCCGTATTTTGTGCCCGTTGCCTCTTGTGCTGTTACATACCACTAAGAAAAGTCTGTTTCTGTCTTCACTACTACCAGATCTCCCTGCCTGAACCTCCTCAAAGCTAAACAGTTCCAGCTCTCTCAGCCTCTCCTTTGCAGGTCAGATGCTCCAATTCCTTAATCATCATCGAGGCCCTTCAGCAAACTCACACCAGTATGTTGATATCTTCCTGTTACTGGGGAGCCCAGAAC